GGGGGGGAAGGGGTCAGTGTGACCACCCTCTACATAATTTTATAACATTCGGCCATCCGACTTTGTTGGTCGCCCCGGCCCAACTTTCATTAGCTATCACTAATAATTTAACATAATTTAAAATAATTTGATAATTTAATAATTTAACATATTAACATAGGATATAATAATAAAAAAAAAAGAAAAAAAATACAGGACATATTTGTTAAGTAGGTTTTGTTAACTAAATATAATCCCTTAGATGAGTTGGTCTCTTGCGGACTCGCTTTGGTCGCGTTGGTGTTTCTTCATCAGGGGTTGAAGTCTGGGTTCCTAGATGTTGCACCTCTGTGTCCTGTTCAATTTCTTGGTCAGTACTCACTGTCCCATCCTGTTCAGCGTCACTCTCCTCTGATTGTTCATCCTTTTCAGAAAAACGCTTCAAGGCACTAACATGAGCAGTTGTAGCATACAAATGCCCTCCTGTGTGGTGTAGGTCTGCCAGTTTGTATGTATCTCCAGCGTTCACTGCTGTCACGACCATCGGTCCTCTGAACTTTGGTTGTAGTTTTGTTGAGCTTCCAGTCGACACTGGTGGTCTTCTAAGGTACACTATTTCTCCCAGTTCCAGTGACATATGTTTACGGTGCTGGTCATGTCTCAATTTCCATGTTGCCTGTTTTTTCTGCAATGTCTTCGCGCAACTTCTGCTGTGTAGTTGCTGGTTGCTGGTATACAGGAGTTGTGTTTGTCAGTGTATCGAGTAGCCCATCTGTTTTAAGTGCATCATAGCCATATACAGCAAAGAATGGACTTACTCCAGTGGTTTGGTTCGGTGCGGTGTTCAAGTTCAATTCTAACTCACTAAGGTTTTTATCCCAGGTGGCTTCATCGCCCATTTGGGTGGTAATTGCTCCTAATAGTGTAGAATTAACCCGCTCTACTTGACCATTTGCACGGGGGGTGGCGTACTGATACCGCATGGTGTTCTATACCATTGGTTTCACAATACTGGTTGAAACATTCTGATTGGAAAGCTGTTCCTCGGTCTGTGATGATCCGCTTAGGTAGTCCATAGGTCAACGCAAATGTTTTCAGCTGTCCTACTACTACTCTTGATTGTATTGTTTTTTGATGGATACAACTTAACAAACTTTGTTAAGTTGTCTACCAGCACTAAGATGTAAGCATTTCCCTTAGAACTTACTGGAAATGGTCCCAGGTGATCTATGTTGACTGTTTCAAAAGGGCGATTACCAGGAGTTATAGGGTGTAGCATGCCCGCTTGTCTCCCTCGCAACTTCTTATATACTGCACACTCTGGACACATATTGATATGAGCTTTTACGTATCTTCTCATACGTGGAAAATAATAGCGCTCCATCATCCTGGAGACAGTGCGTTCGACGGCAAAGTGCCCGCTGAGGTCGTGGAACTTGACCACTAGACTTTTCCTCATTCTCTTAGGGACCATCCAGAGCTTTCGGGGTCCTGTTGCTGACTGCACCAATCTATACAATAAACCATTAATTAATTTATAATTTTGGGTTGTTATTTTACTAGCTGTCGCCCGTTTTAGTGATTCAATGATCTCTCGTAGTTCTGGATCACTGTACTGCATCCCTTTGACATACTCTTCTTCAGTTACGGCTACACATACTTCCAATCGTTCAGTGATCAGGTCGTCCAATGTATCTGAGCTGTCTTCAGTAGGGGCTCGACTGAGAGCGTCCACATGTGACATAGCTGTCCCGGCACGATGTCTCACCTCCACGTCAAATTCTTGGATCAGGTCAAACTAACGAGTTATCTGGGAGTTGGTCGACTTAAGACTATTCATGTAGACAAGTGCTTGACAATCAGTAATGATAACGACGTGTACCCCAATTAGCCAGGAGCGCATCCTGTCAAGGGCCCACACGATCGCCATGAGCTCCAGCTTACTTGAGTGGTAGCGACGTTCCGTCTCACTGGTTTTTTTTACTGTAGCAGTGCACTAGACGTAGCTCTCCAGACTCGTCTCTTTGCAACAGCATGCCTGCTAGTCCGTTACAAGATGCATCTGTATGTAACTCTGTCGGCCTGGTAGCATCAAACAATTGCAGTACTGGTTCACTGAGTAAATCTAACTTAATCTGTTCGAATGCACTCTGTTGTTCTGGTCCCCATTTGAACTTTGTTTCCTTCCTCGTCAGTTCAGTAATTGGTCGTGCCTTTTCTGCAAATTTCGGTACGAAGCGTCGAAAGAAGCTAGCTAGACCCATGAAGCGACGAACTTCATGTTCGTTTTTGGGTTTTGGGAACTCTTCAATTGCCCTCAGTTTCACTGCTCCGGGACGTACTCCATCACCTGATAATTCGAACCCCAGACATTCTATACTTTTCGCAGCAAATATACATTTGGTTGGCCGTAATGTCAGCTTCGCGGCAACGAGCGCTTCTAGAACTTGACGTAGGCGTTCCTTCATTTCCTCCCAGTCCCTGGCAGGTATGAAGTAGTCATCGAAGTAATTTATGACTATTCGATTCTTCAATCGTCCTATAGCTCGGTCCATCACCTTGGTAAATTCAAACGGGGCATTTTTCAACCCAAATACCACGCGAGTAAATTGACCTGTTCCATCTGGTGTGATAAAGCTAGTCAATGGTTTCGCAGCGTCAGTCAATGGAATTTGTAAGTAGGCGTGGGCCAGGTCTAGTACGGTAAACATTCGGTAACCCGCCATTTGTTCCAGTAAGTCATCAATGTTTGGTAGGGGGTAGACCTGTTTCACTGTTTGATCGTTTAACCGTCGATAGTCCACGACTAACCTCGACTCCCCTGACTTCTTACGCACTAGAAGTACCGGTGCAGCATAGGCTGAAGTTGAATCTTCGACAATACCGTGATCTTTCCATACCTGGACGTGACGTTGGATTTCTTCCCTCTCGTTCCTAGATACACGATATGGCTTGGCGGCAAACGGTTCGCTCCCTGGTTTGATGGTGATATCCATGGTGCCTAGATCAGTGCACCCTAATTCGCTCATATTTAATGCAAAGCAGCTCCTGTACTCGTTCACGAGGTTGAGTAACTCGGTTTGTTGCTCTGTGTTCAAACACTCCGGTTTCCGGATGTCGTCGTACGTAAGTGGACGGTTAAGCGGCTCCGCTTTCACCTGCGGAAATTGTGCTACTACTGTCCGTCTAGCGAGTATGTCATTAGCTTGCACTTCCACAGCGTGTTCGGAGTCGTTTTTTCACAGGTACCTGTATCTGAACCTCATTCACCATTGCTGTCACTACGTCCACGCAATTGGCTTCTATGCGTTTGGTGTCGCGTACGACCAACGCACCCTCAGCTGAGCAGCTTTCGTTTGAAGCCGCCTGAGTGAATGGAAATGAAATGGTATTATAATAGGTGAGTGAGTCTCCTTGTTTAATGTAAGAAATCTCTGGCGCTTCACACCACGGTCGTCCGATCAACAGATCAAGTTGGTGGCTGGTGTCAGGTACTATATATATGACGGCTGCCGCGAGAGTTGCTTCGTCGATGCTCAGGCTGACTACAGTTTTTCCGATCGTAGTGGTTAGAGCGTTCGCGCCAAATCCCACAATTGTCGTGTTGTCAGGTTCCCAAATCAAACCGCATCGGCGTCCGGCACTTTCTCGTATAATGCATACCGATGAACCAGAATCGATAAGACCGGTCATGGCGTGCACACCATTTAAATATACTTGTTTTTCATGCAAGGTGCCACCACTGCGTCGATCAGGTCCTATTGACGTACACATTGCGCTTTTGTCCGCGTTTGACTTTCCCTCTTCTTTAGCTTTTACCGTGCAGGATTTGTGGTGTTTACCGCCGAACCAGTGACATGAGGCGCACTTATCACCATTGCGTCGAGGCGAAGGACAATCACGTCGGCTGTGCCCTGTCTTTTGACAATTCCAACAGCGCAATTTATTTTCAATGGGCACTACGCTTTTTCCCTTGTCTCCAGACGCGACAGTACCAGCTGTAGTGACGTTGGGCGACTTCGCGCTAACGCGTTTGTCGACTTCTCTGACAGTTTTTGGGGGGCCACGGAGTTTTGTCTACGCAGCTATTTCCCGCACGTCCCTTTTGTACGCGCTCGTATGCCACGATATCCGCAAGGAGTTCATCCGTGTCCAAATGCCTGGCGGCTAAGAGAGTCCGTGATAATTCGTCCGACCACAATCCTAATAATATTTGTTCTTTGGTGTCTGCGAATGTGAGATTAACTAGTTTGCATCGCCTCACTTTGTTGTGGAAATAGGTGGTGGTCGATTCGCCCTTTGTCTGTATCCTGGCTTGCATTTGTGCATATCGTTGCGAAAAACTTGTGTCCGCTCGAAATGTCTTGTTGAATAGCGATTCAAATTCTGCCCACGTAGTGATTTCATCGATATTGCTCAGAAACCAGTCGCGAGCTGCTCCGATCATATGTCGTCGGGCCATTTGCAACTTCAGCGAATTGGGCCATTTGTGAAGTTCCGCGGTGGCATTCAGATTATTCAGCCATGCGGTTGCTTCTCCACCGATCTCGCACTCGCCGTCAAAATCGCCAACAGTGTGAGATAAATCTGGCATAATTTGATACGAGTTGTTGATACTCGGCGCTTGAATGACATTGTTGACTAGTAAGGCCAATAATGACTGCAGCGTCGGGTCATTGCCGATCGAGCCAGTAGTCGAATCACCCGACGAACCGTTTGTTTCATTATTCATGACTTCGTCGTTATTAGTTATTACACCCACGAACTCGCGTATTTGTGTTTGTCAACAACAAATGACAACGTATAGTGATACTGTGATAGGATATCAACAACATCTTTCCGTGTGTTGCGGGGTCGACCAGTTCTTCCGGGTTGCCCCGGAGACACTCAGCCCCTTTATATAACCGCGGGGTTGTCTCTTCCGGGCAGTAATCCCGGATTGCTCCGGGGGTCCTACCCGGGGCGCCGCCTCACCTCGGGCGCCATAATGAGTGACCGCCGCGGCCAGAGCCCGACGGATTATCGCCTGAGTCAAACCCCTTCTACTAAGGCGGTACTCCCACAACCACCACGAGTCCTTCCTCAAGTGTGCCTTCCCCGGTGCGGGCGAGCGCGAGTCCTCGGTGAGTCCACGCGGTCGTGCGCCTCGGGTCCAGCACCCCCGGAGCGTCGAGGCGCTATTAGCAAGCCGACTCGACGGGGCTTACTCCGAGTCCCGTGGTACAAGGTTTGAACCCGGCGTTCAGGCCCTCGCAACTGCCTTGTCCGCAAGCAAGTCGGTCGGGGCACCGCTGTGTGTACCGCGACGACTCCTTTATAGCGCGTACGGTTTTGATCTTTATCGACAGATTGCCGTTTCTGCCGGTGCCTATCTCATATCAAGCCCCGAGCCGGCTGAATACGTGCACGTGCTTCGCCCGATGGGTGGTCTGGCCCCTTTAGTTCGAGCTCTCGGTCTAGGCAAGAATTTGTTCATAGGGAGCGAGGACACCCAATTCGCCCCGCAAGATTTCTCCGTCCGACCCGGTTCCGAAGAGACCAGGCATTCAGTCCGTCCCGCAAGGTATCCCGTTCCTCGCTCCCGGCTAGGCGGGTCTTAGTACGGAGGGCGTTCGACGATCCTGTGGGGGCGCCGTCTTAGGGCCCTTTAGGTCCGGCTATCGGGTCCCGCTTCGCCTGCCACTATCCGGTACTTCGCAGGCTTTCGCCCCCGCCGCCATCGCTGACAGCGGCGGTCGTTCCGGCTAGGCCCACTCGGACGATTTGTTCCCGCGTGGATAGGGGAGACTGTCCCCATGTCTCTGGCAGTGCGCCGTGCTCTGCACGTACGCCCTCTAGCCACACGCCCAACCGCTGTGGTTTTAAAATTAGGGGTCTGGGTCGTGCCCGCGGGGTCGCCCTACATCTTTACGTTCTAGGACCTCCCGGGAGAAGTTTTTGAACGCAAGGAACATGGCCTCCGTGGAGGTCATGGTATCGCAGT